AAGTCATTGGGAGTGTCAATTTTCGTTGGTACAAAATATTTAGTTAAAGGTTTTCAGAGGTTTTGGTCACCATAACCAACTACATTATTAATATACATGATTACCTGCAGCTGTCTTCTTGCTTAACTTTGGATCTTCAAGTAAATCGTGTGTTGATTTCGGCTTCCCTCTGTACTCCTGAGCTTCATCTTCATCCTGTTCGGCTTCTTCACCAAATGATAACAGACCAAAGTTTCTGAAAAATGGATTTTCATTAACAATATTATCATAATTTAAATAAGAATATGAATTCAAGATAAATTATTTTGACTACTAAAAATGCCATAAAAATATATATTATGAGGGATTTTTTGATTTAAATTCTTGTACATTGAATAGATAAGCATATGAGCTCTTAGACTATAATTTTTTATAGTCTAAGAGTTAATTAAGAAACTCTGCTATAGACAATTAAAGCAATTTATAAAGTAATCATAAAATATGTCATACTTACTTGACACCTACTCTTTCTTTTTTCTTCTTTTTCGGTGGTTCTATTATTTTAACACTAGTAATTCTCGGTACAATATCAGTAAATGGATTGATCAATACTGTTGTACTGGTTATCTTATGTGGATGCTCCGGTCTTTCATCAGGACCGATAAGACCTTCTGCTAACTTCAGCATATTATAAATTGTCTCACCTAAAACGTCCGCGAAATGAAAAAAAAATTAGAGTTTATCTGTTCTTCCAGACTATACATCTACATGCAACATCTGTGCCAAAATTCATCGAGTTACATTGTGAAGACACTTTCTAAGAAACATAGAATAATACATCCAAACATTCGTATTTATAATATTAGTAAGATAAATGAAATATTTAATGAGACCTACAAATAAATTTGTAATATAAGCTTATAACTAATATGTAATTATATTTTCAAAACAGAAACTTTTTTAATCTACATTCAACATTTTACAAAACTAGACTTCGCATAGATTTAATTTTATAATATCTATAATAATTTTACCTGTAACTTTTCCAAATATTGTATGCTTGTTTTGTAACTCTGGTGTAGCGCCAAGCGTAAAGAAGAATTGTGAACCGTTATCATCTTTCCCCGCATTGGCCATTGCGACCAGACCACGACGATTGAAACGCAGGCGAGAATGAAATTCATCCTACAACATGTCACTAGTTTATTTTTTTTATAACAGAAGGAGGCAAACATGCAGTGGGAACACCGAGGTGTTCAACAACGCCCATGGACATCAGCAATACCAGAGGACCCGCAGATGCGTTGCTGGCCTTTGAGGTGGTGATTTTAAAAAAAATGTATGAATGTAGCTTCTACAATACATGTGTTTTTGAGATTACATGACTTAACAATGTAATTAAATATTAATATTGTATTATGAAACTAAAAACCAGGTAATAAGATTCAAAATGCAGACATCTCATCCTTTATTACTTACATAAAACAATAATATTTATAAATCAGTTTTTCATCACCTGAATAATGATTTTAGTTGATAAAGACGGTACAAATTTGTACAAATGTTTACCTTAAACGGTTCTCCATAAATTGATTCACCTCCAGTACCATCACCATTGGGATCTCCACCTTGTACTATGAATCCTGGAACTACCCTATGGAATATAGTTCCTGAAAAATAAATGAAAAACACAGTAAGTTTTGGTAAAAATCTCCTCCTCATAAAAACTTAAATTTACATTAGTCTTTTATATAGTAAATTAATAGCTTACCAATATAATATCCTTCCATACATAACTGTATGAAATTTCGACAAGCCTTCGGTGCTTCTTTCGTCCATAACTCAATATCTATTTCACCGACCGATGTCTTTAGAAGAACCTGAAATTTTTACATCCAGTTAAAGCATTGGATAAAAACAATTTTAAATATTAGAAACTTTAATAGCTAACCAAGAATTATAAGATATTTTATCGATTAACATTTTATAGTCAGTTGAAATATATATAATTAAAAATTACCTTTCCAAGTGCAGGAGGTTCTTGAATGTAAATGTTACTCATTCTGAAGGAACTATTCTAATTCTAGTATTCATAAACTTGACATTGCAATACAACTAGTGGTCATGTAATAAATCCTGCAAGTTAAAATATTTTAATAAAATCGACCTCACTTAGTTAACAATATCTAATTTACAGAGTCTGCTGTCATTTTGTTAGGTATCAGTTGTCATTTGTCACTGTCACTGTCATTGTCAATTTTAACAGGTCGTTTTGAAAGTTCGCTCGACGCAATATTTTTAATGATTGCGTTTTAAGTTCCTAAAATGCTGATTATTTTTTATTTCACAGGAAAATTGCTTACTACATTTAAAATTCTTATAAAACAATATAAATACAGAACCGTAATACAAGCGATCTTGATTTCTCTAATATTTTATGCATGTTATGAATATGTCACTTTCACGTAACCATGAGTTTCCACAGCCAAAACACCTCTACAAAAACAGGTTTAAGTTTTTTTATTATTTTTGATTTGATTCATTTTTGACAAACTTAGATTTTCTTAACCATTCAACCAGCTACGTTATGTTTTCATTGTCGCACATACTTACATTGATTTGAATACAACGAGATGACATAATCATGAAACACGAGACTCATGGTATTATTTAGAAATATCATTTCTTATAACCAACATCAAACACAGGACAAAAATAAAATTCTACTATAAAATTCCAAATAACTTGTTAAAGAAATATTCCACTTAACTTTACGCATCGAAGAATTATCCGCTAGGCTGCGTTCAATCTCAAAAGTATTTCAAAGTTATTTTTAATGCAGCTTCCATGCATTTTATTCGTGTTTAAAGATATTTTACTGTTATTTATTTCATTTCTTGTCAGAAGTGTTCAACTCCTTATTTTTCTATATTTTTTGTTAAGATTACAAATAAGTAAAAGTAGTCGACACCAATTTGACAGAGTTTTAAACTTTTAACAAAAGCCAGCAGTTTTTTGATTTTTAAAAAACGATAAATGTAGATAGATACATTGTTTTTATTATTAAACAAATAAACACAGAGACAAAATCGTAACAAATCTTGCTATTACTTCTATGCAACATATTTTTTTTTTCAAAGTAAATGGAATCGAATCTTGACCCTTGCAAGTCCGTTTCACACTGATCAATCGTTCTCCATTTCAACACAGTGAAACTTGATCCGTTATTTGTTTCAATTAATTTGTACTAAAATAAAGACGTAATATGTATAAGGTATTGTAAAACCAAGGCCCGACACCGCTTTATTGCTGTTTCAATTAGGATGGACTGCTATTGTCTCGCTACCCTCGGGGAGGATTTACTACGCTTATTTGTTACCTTTAGGGAATTGCGACACCTAAAGCTAAGAAGATAATTAAGTATTTGTCTGTTAAAGTATAACCAAAAGAATTGAAAGATTAAATTAGTAATTGTAAATGCGAAAGAGTGTTAAGCTTTTTTTTTTAATTCCGCACGCACAAGCCAGTAATGAATAAACACTAATAACCATGTCGAAAGTACACAACATTTTTACGTAATTGAATTTAATAGGAATGATCTTTAAAGGATATTCTTATATATTTGGAAGTTCTAATCATGTATGATAGTTTGGCATTAAAATGACATACAAATTATCCCTAGGGACATATAAACTATATAAATATATGTTAAAGCCTACGCATTGGGGCACAAGCTTAAAGGTTCCGAATAAAATCGCTCACTTATAGATCACGGCCCGTGAATTCTCATTTCAGTACAGTTGCAAACGACACCTAGATCGTACGTCAGCTTTTCACTTGGGAAAGCGTTTCCGAAAACTTTTTCCATTTTCAATTGTTATTTATCGACAGTTTTATTATCTTTGGAATGGGTAAGTTTTACAAATATATTTTAATTATTTCTGTCATTTTAAAATAAACATTTTTTTTACATTTATCAATTTATAAATTACTAGCAGTTACGCGCGGCTCCGTCTGCGCGGAATAAATAAAAACTTTATTAGTAGCCCATGTGTTTTTCCAAACTATGTTGTACATCTGTGCCAATTTTCATCAAGATCCGATGAGCCGCTCCGGAGATGCCTTCTAACAAACATCCATCTATCCAAACATTTGCATTTATAATATGAGGAAGATTTAATTTGTAGAAAAATAATCGAATTTTTCAGTAAGATAACATGGTGTATTAGATTTTTACGTAGATTTTAATTTAAATTTGATCTTCATAATTCTATTGTCTTGTGTTATGTATATGGAAGTGCGCTATAAACCGGTGTTATTAAAAATAACGTTCGTCAAAATTTAGTATAAATGGGGATAAAAAATATAAGTTAACCTTAATAAATCTGCAAATGAGTTATCTAGGGAAGGAATCTAAAGATTATAATTAACAAATAAATATATTATGTTTCTGTCCCACGCTACAAATTTATGGTGGGCCTAAATTTAAACAAAATTGCAATCACAATTTTTCTCTAATAAGTATAATAAAACGGCACATCCTGTATCTACTTAGTATTTCAACTTGCCGCAATCAATATGTTAATAAAAAAAATGTATCTGGAAAATTGAGTGTAATATCAAGTTATATGATAAAACACTTGCCGACTAAGAGTTTTAATGAAAGCCATCAGGATATGAAATCACTGGCACTCGACTGCGTTGATAAAAGATAACATTGATAAGTTATAAAAGAGTGGGTCAAATTATTTGTTAAGCCGAAAGCTTAAATGCATACTTTTATTTCTATCAAGCAAGTAACAATAATAAAGTTATTAATTATTATATATATTATCTCGTTGGCACCGACTAATTTCACTTAAAGTTAGTGTGTCCATTTTTAATTAACTAAGTAATATTATAATATCTAACTTAAGTTCAAAAACTTCAATGTAATGCATCTTGTAAAATGAGACAAGCTTCACGTTTATACGTATTCGAAAATAATTATACAAGTTTTATGAAGAACTGATGATTCCATGATGAAAGGTATACCGTAACTTTTATATCATTACAGCTTGACTTAAAACAAAAAAAATGAAAATTAGAATAGTAATAATTATTTTTTACATCGTAAAAATAAGCAACTGCATTTACGTTGTGAATGAACTATTCGAGGGAATTAACAACGATGTAGTCAAATATAATGCGATTGCCGCTGACATAGAATGGAGGTCTTCCGTAAACTCAAATAAAGGAATACAAGACAGAACACTTGCTTACTTGAAAAGAAGAATAACATGGCAAAGGAATACATGCAATAAGTTGTCTGCAATTAAACACATCCTTACAAATGGAACACAGCAGAGGCAATCGTTTTTGTTATGCAGGGGGCCTATATACAATCTGGAAGAAGCAAGGTAACATAAGAAAATATAGCACTCAAAAAATTTATTGTTACGTTTTGTGACATAATTTAGTTTTGTTTTTTTCTTTTCGTAGATTTTTAAACAATTTGAATGAAAAAATGTTATCAACCTATTATGATGCCCAAGTTTGTATCCCCAAGATAACATCGCATCCAGAATCTATGACCAATAACAATGTATCAAATGAACGTAGAATCAATGATTACTTATTAAACATGGACAAAGCAAGCACGAATGAAGATAATATACTTGAACATAGAAGTAAGAAAGAACAGACTTTGTGTTTTAAGCAAAAGGATGTAGATGATCTGATAACAAAATCGAAGGATGAAAAAGTTTTAAAATGGATTTGGAAAATGTGGAGACAGGAGACCGGAACTTCGGTAAAAGAATATTTTAAAACCGCCGTGGATATAGAGAACAGAGCCGCTCGAAGAAATGGTAAAGCTAAAATAATATTTATCAAATGTACTCACTTTCATGAGAACAAAGCAACAAAACTTTGTTTAACAATTTGTAGGCAGTATTTTCCACAACCAATTTTCATGTTATTATTTAAGGTTACACAGACGTTGGCGAATCTTGGCGTGAGGAACTCGAGATATCGAATCTAAGACATTACTGTCGACAACTCTTCCAATCTGTTAAACCATTTTATACACTTCTTCATGGCGTTGTTCGGTACTTTCTTCGGAAAAAGTATGGTGATGTCGTGCCAATACGAGGACCGATACCTGCACATTTACTAAGTATATATTACTATAGTATTTAAATGTATTTTATTTTTATGACTGGATTTTAAAGTATTCTTCTCTTCACTAACAATTAATATAGGTAATCTTTGGACTCAAAATTGGGAGCCGATATCAGATCTAATCCTACCTAAATCTATTAATATAGACGAAAGTATGAAGAAAAAGAAATGGGATGTTAAACATATGGTAAGCATCAAGCAAAAGCAATGTTACCAATAATTGGTAATATATTTTGGGAGAGAGTGCAATAGTTAAATTTGTATCGAATTTCACTAGAAAGCGTTTCTTTATTTAAGTTGATATAAACTTCACAAATATCTTTCAGGTTAAAAGAACAGAAGACTTCTATATTTCTTTAGGATTACCACCAATGACGGATACTTTTTGGCGCGAATCAATATTTGTGAAAAATAATAAAATACGGTGTCATGGAACTGCTGCAAATATGTTCAAAGAAGACGACTACAGGTTAGCATTTTCGTTATAGTTTATAAATTTACTACCAAACAGAATCAGATTTCAATTCAATTCAAGGATTGGAACAAGTTGCCAGCCTCTGTTTTTCCGTCCAAATATGATATTGGGACCTTCAAAAGTAGAGTGAATAGGCACTTACTAAGCTAGCGCGTACCATCTTACGACCAAATCTCCACTTCACCAGGTGGGATCGTGGTCAAGCGCTAGCTTACAAAACGTAAAAAAAAATTGTATTTTCTAATACTAATATCTTTTAAAATTTACAGATTATTATATTGTACTGGCGTTTCCTTTCATGATATTGAGGTGCTGCATCATGAAATGGGTCATATTCATTATTATATGGCGTACGCAAACCAGCCAGGTATATTTAGAGTAAGTAGATTAAATATACAATTCCTATACCCATACATACCAACTTGAACTTTGTACCAAAACCTGGAGTGGTTAAATGAACTGAACATTTTATTCACAGCAAGCTAGTTCCGCTTTTCATGAAAGTATCGGTGATGCTATAACAATCGGCGTGATGACTCCACAGCATTTGAACAGACTGGGACTGATAAATGATACCACTTTGTATTCAACTAACAAAGACCATGCACAAGCAGTACCGAATGTATCTAATGAAGACAAAGAAAATAATACCCTAAAAGATTCAATTAAAGATGACACAAATCAACTTATAAATGCAAACACCGATGAAATACTATTACTAAAACGTGCTCTAAACAAAATACCCCAAATTCCGTTTTCTTTGCTCATTGATGAATACCGTTGGAAGTATTTCGAAAATAACATAGATGCAGCAACTATGAATAAGGAATTTTGGGCAATGTCCCTGGAAATTCAAGGTATATCACCTCCTGAAGACAGAAATGAAGAATTCTTTGATTTAGGCGCTGTATACCATGTGGCTGATAATACTCCTTACATCAGGTAAAATTAATTTATCAACAAATTTAGAACACAATGTTTTGTGCAACAAAAGTGAATGGTAATCACTGATAGAGGCAGCTGACGCTATTACAGCTCAGGCTACATATAGCAAGCTGTATTACAGAAATAACCTAACCAGAGAACGAACTATAAGGAACAAAATAATAAACTGGTAGATAAAATGACAGCTTTTTTGTTTTAGATATTTCTTGGCAAGTTTCTTCCAACATCAGTTGTTTGAACACCTCTGTAAAGTTGCTGTTTTTGGAAAGCACGGAGACGCCAAGCTTTTGCCTAAAACAATCCCATTGAATAGATGTGATATTTATGGAGCTAAAGCGAGCGGGAAATTGTTGAAGTAAGACATTTTTTTCATATCATTACATTTACATTACATTACATACTTTTAGATGTGATATTGGTAAGTAATTTCAAAAATAGACAGCTGTATCGCAAAAATGTTTGTTTAGTATCTATTTTTAAAACCTTAAATTCCTTAAAGAAAATTTTTGCGTACTTTAACGTACATCGAGTCTCTCCTCGGCGGTATTTCCAAACCGCTACGACTTAGGGTTCTCGAAGAAGCAAACGTATCACCATCTTAAAGACCGGCAACGCCTTTGCGATTCCTTTGGTATGCTGATGTCCTTGGGCTTCGATAATATGAAAATAGGTTTTCACTCACCAAACTCTGTAACCAACATGTACCTTCCATTGATTTGGTGCGTGAAATTAATGTAAAGTCGTTTAATCTTCAGAAAATTTATGTCACATGGTAATTCCCAACACTGGAGAGAAATATTAAGAGACGCATTTAACGAAGATGACATCTCTGCTGCTGCCCTCTTGCGGTACTATCGGCCTTTGGAGGATTTTTTGATCAGACTCGTCGGAAAACATAATATACCACTCGGTTGGTAAGCAACTAAAGGATTCGAATTAATCATATACCATTTGCAATTAAATAACTCAAATTTAATTTGGATTTTATTTTCTCGATACAAATTCATGATTCCTTTGTTTTGTGTTTTCCTTTTTTGAAGGTCAAAGATTCACTTTATCACTACGCCAATGAGTAATTAAATACGCAGGACAATTAAAAATAATTATAGATATTAATCAATAATTAAAACAAAAATTTAAATTAACAATAAATACAGTTTATTAACTTATTAAATATTATTTGAAGTAACTTAAATTTAAGACTTAAATAGCTTAAAAAAGGTTTAAAAATTAACAGATTAGCTTTAAGTTTAGCGTCACAAAAATAAATAACGAAGCTTTTGAAAATAATTTATGACAAGCGTTACCAACAAATTGCATAAGAAAAAATATTTACATTACAGAAATAATATTTATAATCGTAAATATGAAAAATCTAATGGTTTTACATTTTCTATTTACATTTTAAATTATTTTATTTACAAAATGCTATAGACGATACTTTAGGATAATCGCAATTAAGGATGGTTAAGAATTTATCACATTTTTAAGGTATTTTAATATCCATTGCAATTAAATATTTATATTATTTTTCTGGCTATTCATAGTACTATTTATATTAGATTTAAATCAAAATAAGTAAAACTTTTAAGCTTTGTTACTTATTGTAACAGACTCGGTAACAATTCAATAAAAAAAATTCCAGCCAGTATTTTAATTTTTCATGTGATGGCTTAATTTATTTTGATAATTTTAATTTGTTTAAATAATTATATAGATGTAAGCAATTATTATTACGTACTTTATCAGTAAACTTATAATAAGCATTAACTTTTTGGTGGTAACATTAATAGACACCGCATTGTGTGCCAGTGACATTTAAAAAAAAGGAATAAAAAAAATCTTTGTATCAAAATCTACTGACATCAAAGTCATACACACTTCACTATCACTGGCGCTTTATCTTCACTGAATTCGAAATTTTCACTCATCTAAAATTTCGTAACACTTGTATAAAAACACTATTGCTATCTCTTTTTTTTCAAAGAGTATGTTAGGGATGGCAATATTGTAATACAATGACCAACTTGACTTCCTTCAACTACTAACGCTATGATAACGTAGTCGCATGTGATATCCAGTCTACTGTATGCGCAACACGATGATAGATCCCGGGCTGGCCGCGGCTAGCACACGAATAGCCCGCGGATACGACACCAATGAGGTACCAGCGCCCCGCCCTCTCCAACATCAAAGGGCCGCCACTATCGCCTTGACAGCTGTCTTTCCCTCCGCCCCGGTAACCCGCGCATAGCATCTCAGGGTATATGACTACATTAATTCCTGGAAAAGAATTTGAAAATATATAAATAAAATGAATATAAAGATACAGAGGTGCAGGTAAATTCGTTATTGATTTGAAGTTAATATAATTCAAAAAGCCTCAAATAAATTAATGTATCAATAATATTGCTACAGCTTTTAACTGCTGTCTCACTTGTATTATTATTGTTGTCTCTTTTATTCTCTTTGACAAAACAGAGACGACTCTATAAAAAAACGGAATCAGTTGTCTTGCAAATGTTAGCAAGGAAAACACAAGAATATCGTCTTTATTAGTATTATAAGCTTTCAACTAACAATCAGATCCGAAAGTTTGTTTCCCATTTAGAGATATACCATTTTATCTTGTTAATAATGTCCGTAATTATTTACCGTTAGCACGATGCCACCGTTCGCACACTCTGTTATCTAGTACAGGCACGTCAACGGCCTGCAGGGTGCGCGGGCGCAGCCTTGAGCCGGGACTCAGCGCGCCCCAACCCGCCGCCCAACCATACTGCCCAAGGAAGTCAGACCCTCGTTCCGGCAAGCAGATTGGAGCTGAAAATATTTAAGATAACAATTTAAGACTATGTTATTCAAAAAATCATGTAATCGATATTCAGGGTATGCAGTTCACTAAATGAACCGGCCAGCACAGCACAAAATTATTGACTTCTACATATATTCTTGTCCAAAAAATGTATGAAATTAGAGTGAATGGAATGATACTATTAAATGATTCTTTATCGTCCATAGATCTTGGTATCAAGGTTATGATTCCATCATTTGCTGGTAGAGGAATAAAACACTTTAAATAGCTCTTTACAAAAAAAATATGTAAAACTGACCTATATGAGGCATATAATGCACATTACGATCGAGCGTCAGCACAGCGACGTCAAATCGATCAGCTTGAGGCGTGAACTTAAACAGGGGATGTACTTTGATCGTTCGTACACCGAACGTGTAAGCGGGCAGGGGTTCTGCCGCCGAGTTGATGACGTAATCACCGAGGGTCACTCTAACGTGGCGTGGCTGCGCGCGTGCAACGCAGTGACCAGCGGTCACAACATGGCGACGAGAGATCAAAGAGCCTCCACATCTGGAATTTAAGTTAAAAATATACTTAGATTTTTATTAAATAAACAATTAAAAATTTGTTTATTTCAACTGAGCTAATGCTATTTACGACATCACGTATGTTAATAGTTTTGTCATAGTTATATGATAAAACATTATAGTAGGATACTACAGACATGTTAACTTATTTATCTGACATCCAATCGCGTCGGTCGCTTCAAAACCAACATGCTTATAATAATATATAGAACAATTTTACTCTCTTTCAGAACAGTATTGTAAAGTAACGCATGATTTCGTAATAACTAGAATTATATAAATGCAATTAAGTAATTTCTCATTGCCGTGTAACCGTGTAATTTTATACATATCAACATTTTATTTTTGCTGAATCATAAATATTGTGTTGAAAATATAAACTCATTTAACTATTTAATAATTACTAGCTGTCAACCGCCACTCCGTCGGCGCGAAATTAAAAAAAAAATATTAGTAGATTATATGTTCTAGACTATGTTCTATTAATATTCAAATCAATGCCAAATTTTATCGAGATTCATTTCAGAGATAACTTTAAACAAACATCCATCCAAACATTCGCATTTATAATATTAGTAAGAAGCAAGATAATTAATACTTAAAAGTAACATTACGAACAATATAGATATAGTGAAAAGAAAATCGCAATTATTCGTTTTGGCAGCTCTATACTTTTATACTCACCTTTTAAAACTGCAATATCAAGCAATAGCTATATTTAAAAATAAGGAACTAAAAATAACGAACTAATGAATCTAATGCATATCAATAGTTTTGTTTCACTTTGTAAATTTCCCTTCACCTTCCCGATATACAGCTAAATACATTGTTAATTTTTACCAACAGAATCGCATGCAATCGTACACTATTCTATAGTAGTAAATTAAAAAAAAAATAACATTGCGAAGAGGAATGTGCGAAAAAGGTTCGTGTTTATTCATAAGTATCAGTTATACGCTAGCTAAGTTTACATAACATAATAGCTTGCGTAAGCTTTTAGAGAAAAATCATTCCAAATAACAAAGGTCTGTTAGCGGAATACTTTACATTCGATAGAAAGCCGAAACCAAAAGGAATTTTACATAAAATACAGATTGTACAGGGTTTTGATATAGCCACCTTGTCTACTCTATGTCAAGGGTTTTCTACCTAATTCATGCATCTCTTTCGCACATTTACCTCTCTATCCAACACTGCTTCCAACCAATAAGCTCGAATATCGACATGAGCATGTTGCATCTGGAAAATTAATTTATTAATAATGATTAGTTTATTAGTCACGAAGTAAACATTGCATTTGTATGTTATATAATGTGAATGTATTTCTATGAAATTCAACTTGCACTAACATAGAACATATACTGTCGTCTCTGTCCTTCCGAAGGAAATAAGAGAGGTGATACGATTTTATTAGCTTCGAAAGTCGAAAAACACAGTATCGTAAAGGTCCAATTAGACTACGACATATTAATGTGTGTACAGTCAGCTGCATTAATATTTTTACATTTATAAAGCTTCAAAAACTAGCATACGCTTTAGGTTTCTAAAATATGTATACCCGCATCATTCCGAGCATGACTACATTTAGTAGATCAATTGGTGCACAAGTATATTTGAAACCGAAGAACTATACAAGTTTATAAAGTTATTTGAGTGTATACATATTAATGCAGCGGACTGTACTGTTTACAAATGTACAAATGTATCCAGAGACACTACGATGACATTCTGAGTATACCGTGTATAGAATCTGAGTCTAATTGTACCATTAATATTCCGAAACCACAAAATCTTCAATCGTACGGCAAATTACCTATGTATTTGTGCACAAATAAAGTTATAGTAATTTAAATATTAGTATGTTAATTAATAAGCAATAATAAAAACTCATCAAATCACATTTCATCTCCGATAGTTTGGAAACAAATGTACCAAAAATATCGGTTTTCAAAATAGAACTTTAAGTTGGTATGTAAATAACGAGTACCTGAAACTTTTAAAGTAAGCAGATTTTTTCATCTGTTTATGTTTAAGGGTAATGTTGCATCTTTCGATATAAAACTTTCCTGAAAATATTAAACTTACTTGCAACTACTACGTAAACCGCTCTAAAATCATCTGACTACATATTTATATAAATTACATATATGTAAACTCATATATACAATAGACTTCCTTGCAATGCCATACCGTGTCTAAATAACGAAATAATTTAAGTACGTTGCATGTTTTTATGATGTAAAAATATACATTAAAATTGACACTATCTCAAGATCTGCTCCGTAAACCGCCTACATATTAAACCAGGCATGAGCATTGCAACATTGTAGTAACAGTAACAAACTTACATTACAAAATAAGTAAAGAAGAAAATTGTGGTTTTAAATATCAAGATTTTTTTCATTTAACTTTTGTTTTTTTAGACAACATTACTTAGGGTTTCCACCAAAATATCGTCGTCGTCACCTCATTGTATGTCCTCGCTTAGGGGTTCGGACCCATTCCTAAGTTAGGGGTGACTAGGCAGTAGCCAA